TAGGAATATATTTAGCAGTTAGCGATCAGTATATCATCACTGGGTGACACAAGGTGAATTGCTTGTACAGATCTCTAGTGCAGACATGACAGTCTGAATGGCCTCCTCTATTCTACAGCAATTCTGCGATACTGAACAGACAATCAGGGAAGTTATTCTGAACCTTTTTTAAAGCTCTGATCAAGCCAGAACTAGAGTAATGTGACCAAAACTTCTCATCACACATCAGGAAGGATGTGAGTGCTTTGAGAAGGGGCCAATCAAAATTATGAGAATGAATCAGAGAGGGCAGTAATGAGAAGTGACCGATGAGAATTCTGAGAGAAGTCAGCTCGTTCGCCGCAACTGAGAAGTGGAATGTGGATGACCCAGTTTCAAAGAACCATGAAGCCCCAAGCATTGCATAACTGTCATATTTCTCCCTCTTCCGTGAACTAAACAAAAAGAGAGGGGAGCTGTTAGAAAATATGTTTGTGGCTTGAAAACAGCAGAGCCTCAGCAGTGTGCATTGCTTTACTAGCAAAGATGGCAGGGACGCTAGGAAATCTTGCAATATGTATGGGAGGTTTTAGATCAACAAGACACCAGGACAGTCTCATCTGCATGAAGTACGAGAGGGTAGCAGTCTTTGAACAACATGTGGCTGATTGGAGCAGCAACTCTCCTTGCTGCACACCACACAAGAAGGAGAGAGGTTTCTGGGACAGTTGTACCAGAGAGTGCTCAGTCCACATCATGATAGGCAGGCAAGGAGGAGCAGAGACAGCAGGAGAGTGGGTGACCATTCACTGAAAGAAATGGAGATGGCAGAACCAGGAAACCTAGGACTCCTTGGAGCTGTCCGACAGGTTGGAAATATTAGATGCCTATTTACTGAGCAACATGACTGAGTTGGTGGGGGGTGGGGGGGTGACTCAAGATAAAACTACCAAGGTGCTCGAGACTACCCTAGGAAAAGAGCTGGAAGCTGGTGGGTAGATTAGAAAGGTGGTAGTGGTGGTTGATTCGGTAGTTTGAGGGATAATCAGTTTAGTTTGCAGCCAAGATCATGAGTCCTTATAGTCTGTTGCCTCCTAGATGGAAGGGTTTGGGATGTAAAGGAATGGCTGGATAAATTTTTGCAAAGGGAGAATGAGCAACCAGCGGTTGTGGTTCATCTGGGAACCAATGACACAGGGTGGGATATCATGGAAGACTTGCAGGATTAGGTTCAGGTGTCAGGGAGTGTGTTGAATAGCAGGACCTCAAGGTAGTAATTTCAGAAATACTACCTATGCCACGAGCTGCCCTGTTTCAGCAAAGGTAGCTAAGGGAGGTAAATGCATGCCTTGAGGGATGGTATAGAAATGAGAAGTTTGGACTTTTGGAACATCGGGATCGCTTTTGAGAAAGGAGAAAGCTGTTCAGAAGAGATGGGATTCACCTGTGCAGAAATGGAGCTAATCTCCTGGCTGAGAGCGTAATTAGTATAGAGGGGGTAGATTAAACTTGCAAGGTTGGGCAGCAGGTTGACTTGTGGGCCTAGTTTTGGAAGTATCAGAGGGGGCAAAAAAGGGAAGATAGGTAATGGGGGAAAAAAGTGAAGGAAGGCTCGAGTCCAAAGGAATGTTAGCCTTCCAGTGGGCAAGAACGAAATAAAGGCAAGGTTAAACCGTACGTATGTAAAAGCACAGAGTATGGTGCTCAGTGAACAAAAGCAGAACAGAAGCATAGTGAACCAAAGTGGGGAGGGGGAAGGGGGTGGGGTGGGGTGGGGAAAGAGGGAGGGGGGGAAAACAGGGGGAACTGGAAGCAGAAAATGCTCTGGGAGGATATGACATTGTAGTACTGGCAAAAACACAGCTCAAGCCGGAACAGGACTGGATACTTAACTTCCTGGGTTATAAAATTTTTAGCAGAAACAGGGTGGGCTAAAAAGGAGAAGGTGTGACAGCCTTGGCTAAAGGTAGTATCATCGTCCTTGAATGAATTGCAGTTCCTGAATTAGAAACTAAATGGTTAGAATGAAAATCAGAAAGGCAGCAGTTACCTTGCTGGGTATTTATTATAGATCTCCAAATAGTGGGGAGGAAGTAGAAAAGAGCTTTTTAGGCAGATAATAGAAATCTACAGGCCAAGTGACATTGTGATAGTTGGTGATTTCAATTACCCTAGAGCAGACTGGGAAGAAGTTAGAGTGGAGCATGGAAGGGGAGAAATTCCTACACTGTGTGCATAGAACTTTCAGAAACAGTACATTTCCTGCTCAACAGGGAGGGAGGTTCTGCTGAATCTAATGCTAGGAGGTGAGGCAGGCCCAAGTAGAGAAAGTTAGAGTGGGAGGGCATTTGGGAAAATGTTTTTTAGGGCACCCATTTAAAACAGAAATGAGGAAAATCTTTTTTCTTTGATGGGTGTGTTTGGGATTCCCTTCCTCAAAATGCAGTGGATACAGAATGTTTAAATATTTTAAGGCAGAGGTAGATTTTTGTTTGCCAAGAAGATGACAAATTATTGGGGGCATGCAGGAGTGTAGAGTTGAGGTTAAATTCAGATCAGCCATAACCTTATTGAATGGTAGAGCAGCCTCACAGGGCCTAGTGGTCTACTCTTGTTCCTTGTTTGTATCTATGTGTTAACACTCAACGGATTGTAACAATACTCATAACAGCTGGAACTCTGCTCAGCACCCAGTACCGCGTTCCTGAAAATATCACTCCCACACATCCCCTGATTGCTAAAATCCACCCAGGCTGTCCCAGTGGGAGCAACTGTCCTGAGCAGGATCTACCAATAGAGAACTAAAGAACTGATCATTGACTTCAGAAAGAAAGGAGGAGAACACGCCCCCATCTACATCAACGGAACTGAGGTTGAGAGGGTGGAAAGCGTCGAGTTCCTCGGAGTGACGATAACCGACAACGTGTCCTGGTCTTCCCACCTAGATGTGACAGTCAGGAAGGCACAACAATGCCTCTTCTACCTCAGGCAGCTCAGGAAATTTGGCATGTCCATAAGGTCCCTCACCAACTTCTACAGATGCACCATTGAAAGCAAACTGTCCGGGTGCATAATGGCCTGGTATGGCAACTGCTCTGCCCAGGTCCATAAGAAACTACAGAAGGTGATGTGCACAGCCCAGACCATCACGGAAGCCAATCTTCCATCCATGGACTCCATTTACATGGCTCGCTGTCACGGAAAGGCTTCCAACATCATCAAAGACCCATTGTACCCCAGTAATGATCTCCTACAACCTCTTCCATCAGGCAGAAGATACAGAAGCCTGAACACACGCACGAGCAGCATCAGGAACAGCTTCTTCCCGGCCGTTATTAGACTGATGAATGAACTCTAGCCTCATACAATGCTGATCTTGCTAATGTTGATCTCTACTAATGCACGCCCTGTGCAGTGTAACCTGTATGCCTCTAAGTCTTTTTGATATCTACAATCTTGCTTACTATGATCTGCCTATACTGCTCCTAAACACAGCTTTTCACTGTACTTTGGTACACATGACAATAAATCAATCAACCAACCAACCTTTGGAGTAAGGAATGGAAGACATGGAATTCATAGAATCATACAAAATAGAAAGAGCCCCTTTGGCCCAGCGTGTCTATACTGACCAATAAATGCTAAACTGTACCAATCCCATTTACCTGCACTTGGTCCATAGCCTACTGTGCCCTGGCATTTTAAGTGCTCATCCAGATGCTTAAAAGTTTGCGAGAGTACCTGCCTCTATCACCCTCCGGCAAAATGCTCCATTTTTCTACCACCACCTAGGTGAAAACCTTCCCTCCGATTCCCTCTAAACCACTTACTCCTCACCGGAGTCACATCTTAGACATATCTGCTATGGGGAAAAGATTCTCATGACCTACTCTGTCTATGCCTCTTATAATTTTATATACATCATTCAGATCCCCCCTCAGCCTCCTCTGCTCCAAGGAAAACAAACCCAGCCTATCCAGTTTGTCATCGTAACTGAGACTTTCCATCCCAGACAACATCTTGGTGAATCTCCTTTGCACACTCTCCAGTGTAATCACATCCTTCCAATAGTGTGGTGACCAGAACTGCATAAAGTATTCCATCTATGGCCTAACCAATGTTTTATAAACCTATATCAAGACTTTGCTGCTCCTATGCTGTGTGCTCCAGCTAATGAAGTCACGGAAGGCTCTCTATGACAAACCCCACCTCTCGACTGGCAGGCCTTGAACTATCACAGTGAGAGTGGCCCTTGCTAAGCAGCCTCAGGACCAGTCAGGGTCTCTGTGCAGTCAGCCTCACGATCGAGGCCTCGGGGCAAAGCTCTAATGATCTTGCAGAGAGACACACATGATGCTGCACATTACTGAGGTGTGACTCTTCTAAATACTGAGCACTGGATCGTTCACCTCAAACTGAGCAAATGAGGAGGTGAAATTGGCTCTGGAAATTTGCATTTGCCCAATATATAAATTCCACTGTTGATGCCATATTTACAGATGACGGAGGGATTTGTCATTCAATCTGCTATATCACTATGCGTTGTTGGCAGTGAACAAAAGACAGAGGCAGGCATCCAACTATTCAGACAGTACGATACCAGCTAATATATCTCTGCTGTTTTCCAGATTCATGCAGGAGTTGACAGAAATGTTGGGATTCACTCCATACAGATACTACTATTACACCTGGAAGTACATCTCCCCTCTGGCCATGGTCATCCTGATGTTGGCCAGTATCATTCAGATGGGGATCACTCCTCCAGGGTACAATGCCTGGATAATGGAAGAGGTAATCAGAAAGATGGAATATCTGACGTTAAAATTCTCTAATACAGGGATACATTGGTCATATGGTTGCAATGAGAAGTGATTACTTTCCAAAGAACAGAATCTGGGTGAGTAGGAACATGGATAAAACCACTGCACTCAGAGCAGTTCGTGAAGAGTTTATATTGGGGATGCAGTGTGATGTTGAGGGAACAGGGTCAGGGAGGTGTTTGGGGGTTGTAGTGGAATTGGATCAGTGAGGTGCTGTGTGAGGGTACGTTCAGTGAGGTGCTTCTGTGGGGATGGGGTCAGTAGAGTGTTGAATGGGGATGGGGTCAGGGTAGTCGTGTAGGATGCTGTCATGAGAGGATGGGATCAGTATGAGGGGGGTCGTGCGGGGAAGGGGTCAGTGGGGGGGTGTCATGTGTGGGGGTTTGTTGTGCGGGGATGGGGTCAGTGGGAGGGTTGTTGTGCGGGGATGGGGTAGTGTGAGGATGGAGTTAGGGGCGGTGCTGTTGTGTAGGGATAGGGTCAGCGAGGTGTTTTTGTGAGTTTGGGGTTGGTGAATGGCCAGTGACTGGGGATATGCCTCCAGGCAGATCCTGAGCTGGCTGGCATTTCTGTCTGAGGTGTTAAAAGTGAACAGCAAGCTATAATGGGACAGGATTTCTATGGTTTAGCCTCATCGGTGATCTCACTAAATTACTCTCTGGTTTAGGATTGCAGTTAGCTGTAGGCTAGGCACTACCCAGATTCCTGAGATAACCCAGTTACCTTTTTGCTAGTTGAGTATATTGATCAATGATTCAGAGTCTTCCTTTCTTTGAACAGGCTGTGGAGAGGTTCCTGATATTCCCAGGCTGGGCCCTCGGTTTGACCGTTTCTCTGATTGTGCTGGGAATTCTCCCCATTCCTATTGTTTTTATTGTCCGGCACTTCCATCTTGTGTCTGATGGGTCCAACACTTTATCCGTCTCCTACAACCGAGGTCGAATGATGAAAGATATGTCCAATTTGGATGATCATGATGAGACACGATTCATCCTGAGTAAGGTTCCCAGTGAGAGTCCCTCACCAATGCCTATCCATCGCTCTTATAATGGGCCAGACAGCATATCACCACTGGAGATGACTGCTGCTAATGGGCGATATGGTATTGGTTACCTGTCTGCTGGCACTCCTGAATCAGAACTGTAAACTGAGATTGCCATAGGCAAATCAGCACCTAAATACAGTTATTAATATTAAGTGAAATGGTGAGAGGTGTAACGATTAATTAGCAGGTTTTAATTGGAGAAAACAACCTGTAACTAGCACCATTGATTGGAATCCGGTCAATTTGACATTGATCTCCACTGGTTTAAAACAAAACAAAATTGTGTAAATTAGTTAATGATAGACTGGACCTGTAGCAGTGCGGGCACTGCATGTACAATGCTACATTGGAATCACTGTAATTCATCTGACCCTATATCAGCAAACATTGAACATATCGCTTGTATCAAATCAGACATGCATATACCTGTAATGGCACAAATACCACATATACCAGCCTTGCATCAGTGCAGATGTTGTATATACTGACCTTTTATCTGCACATACACTACATATGCTGAACCTGCATCAAGACAAGCATACCAGTTCTTACCCAAAATCACTGCTGAAGATTTCGCAAACCACCACCCCCCCCACCAACCTCCCCAACCCCGATCAGTAGCCGATAAAATAAAAAACTCAGTTTAGGTACAGACAATGTGAATACTGTACAGGAAATGCACATCCTGAACCAAAATCAGCACAAGAGCGACATCTGCTGCCCTATATTAGTCCACACACAACACCAGTCCTGAAAAAGCACAAATGCGTTATGTTAGGCCTATATCTGCACATACATGCCATATACTGCCATTTATGAAGATAAGCAATGCACGTGCTAACCAGAGTCGGTATGAGTCTGTGTACTAACCAAGTGTGTAAGTGTTGTGTACTCGCCGTGAGTCAGTGTGGGCGTCGTGTGTACGCGCCGTG